TTTGTGTTTATACATAAGTGATCATTCAGTGACTTTGTAACAAAAAAGTCAACAGTCAGAAAAATCCTTGCAACAACATACAGCTGACCCTTCAACAACATGGGTCTCAACTGCGTGGGTCCACTTACACGTGCCACCCCTAAGTCCACAAAACCAACCCCTCCTCTTCCTCCTCTTCCTCAGCCAACTCAACGAAGAGGATACAGACCTTTATGATGATCCACTTAATGAATAGTAAATATATTTTCTTCTTTGTGATTTTCTTAATAACATTTTCTTTTCTCTAGCTTCTATTTTTGCATAATTATTGCTGATATCCGTATTTTAATTTTTCTATTTCCCACTTATGGGGTAAAACAGGTCATTGAAGGGAACCGAATCAATTGGACCATTTCCTTTTTTGCTTGTGCTTCCCGGAGGTGTTCAATAACTACTTGCTGGATGGTTGATCAATATTATTTCCTTGAATTGTTCTCAGGGGAAACATGGGGCAGAGACAGCGTGGTGGGGTTCTTGGGCATGGGTAATCCAGAAATAAGTCAGATTTTTTAAAGATGAAGAGCTTAATTTGGTTGACATGGATTAGGAGCCAGGGACAGAGAGTCTCCGATTTCCTTATTTCCAACTGCCTCCCTCCATCCTCCTCCAGTGGTTCTCGCCTTCCTCCTTCTACACTTTCAGTGTTGCATATTCAACAGGTCCTGGGGCTCCTCGGTGGGGAAAGAAGCTGCCTCAGACAGTGCACTGGCATTCAGCTCAACATGGCTCACTCCCTGGGGGTCTTCGGTCTTTGGGGAAAAGAGGTGGATATGGATGAGCATTTAGAGCTGAGTGATTCAATATGGTAGCCGCTAGCCACATATGGTTATTTAAGTCTACATTAACTAAAATTAAATTAAATTAAATATTCAGATCCTCAGTTGCACCAGATGCATTTCGAATGCACAACAGCTATGTATGGCTGGAGGCTGCTGCCTTGGGTAGCACAGACATAAAACATTTCCACTGTTGCAGGGAGTTCTGCTGGACAGCACCGTTCTAGAAGGGCTGCGCTTCAGGGAGCATGAGGAGTTTGACTATAGTATTAGTACAACAATACAATCAATTAAAATTAGTGCAAATGTATGGTATCGAGAATAAAAACTACCATCTTACAACTACTGATTATGTAATGTTATATTCTCGTAATATTATTATCAATGGTTTGTCAATCGATGCTGTAAACCGAACATTTAAAATAGACCAGATCTTATGAACATACAGATAGGAAGAAGGAACAAGTTCTAGTGTTCAATAGCACAGTACGGTGGCTATAGTTAACAACAACATATTTTATATTTCAAAATAGCTAGAAGAGAAGACATGAAATGTTCCCAACACAAAGAAATGATATCCATCCTAGGTGATGGATCTCCTAAATACCTTGATTTGATCATTACACATCGTATCCGTGTATCAAAATATCACATGTACCTCATAAATATGTGCAAATACTAGGTATTAATAAAAAAATAGACCAGATCAGAGAGTAGAATGGTGGCTGCCAGGGAAGGAGGAGATGGGAAAGTGTTGATCGAAGGGTACAAAGTTTCGGTTAGGCAAAACAAATAAGTTCTGGGGAGCTACTGTATAGCACAGATCTCGTGATGAACAGTACTGTATCGTGTACTTAACATTTCACTAAAAGGGTAGCTCTTATGTTGAGCTCTCAGCACAAAAGAGGAAGGAAAACTCCAGAGGGCAGGAGGAAGCTTTTGGAGGTGATGGATACGTTTATGACATCAGTAATGACAATGGTCGATGGTGTCACAGGTGTATACTTATCTCCAACCACATCAAGTTGTCACGTTAAATACGTACAGCTTTTTTTGTGGAAAAGGAAAGAAAAAAATAGACCAGATCAACCATTTGTTCATTGATGCTTTGATGCCAACCATCTGACATGAATTTGCCAGAAACTCTGAAAAACCCTTTATATTAGTGACATCACTGGGTTTGCACAAGCCTTTTAAATGGGGGTTTTGATTCCCATCGGCTACAGGAGGAAATGAAAGGTCCAAATTAGGGGACTTTGTGATGTGTCTCAGACCACACAGGTGATGAATAGTAGACACTGGGAGCTGGAATTCAAAGCGCGTGTTTTTAAACAAGATGTTTTTTTTTTTTTTGAGACAGAGTCTCACTTTGTTGCCCTGGCTAGAGTGAGTGCCGTGGCGTCAGCCTAGCTCACAGCAACCTCAAACTCCTGGGCTCAAGCAATCCTTCTGCCTCAGCCTCCCAAGTAGCTGGGACTACAGGCACGCGCCACCATGCCCGGCTAATTTTTTCTATATATTTTTAGCTGTCCAATTAATTTCTTTCTATTTTTGGTAGAGACGGGGTCTCGCTCTTTGCCCAGGCTGGTTTCGAACTCCTGAGCTCAAACAATCCGCCCGCCTCGGCCTCCCAGAGTGCTAGGATTACAGGCATGAGCCACCGCGCCCGGCCTTGAACAAGATGTTAATTGGCCTCCTGTCCATGGCGTGAGTTGGGGGCATTGATACAACCAGAGCATGGGCTAAACCAGGGGGCAGACAGGACCAGCCCGTGGTGGTCAGTGACTTCTTGGTGGATCCCCAAGGGGGAGAACTCACCAAGAGAGATGTCCTTTCCATCTTGGATAAATCTGCATGTGAATGAGAGAAAAAAGTCAGTTCTCAGGTTGCAGGAGTCACAACTTTGTCTTTCTGTCCCGTCATTCTCTTAACTTCCCTTATCACTTACCCGTAGCATCCTGCTTGGGAGATTCGGAATGGCTGGTTCTGAGAGAGAGAAAAACACAAGAAAACATGGAATCTGAAGGCTTGGGGCTTTGGCAAGGAGAGGAGGGAGGTCCCAGAACGGGCTGGGGTCGGGGGCTCTGGGTGGGGCTGGGCGTGCCAGTCACGGATGTGCAGACCGGGCCTCTGAAGAGCGGTGGAGAATTAAGGGAGGATGAGCTATGTCAGGTCTATCTACCTCTCAGCGGATTCTTCATGTGATGAACCTACAGGTTCTTCTGGTGATGAACCTACAAAAAAAAAAATACAGGGAGGAATTTACCTACTGGGAAAATCCTTCACTCTCCCTCTCTCCCTTTCTGTTCTCCGAACTCACCTTGCTGAGTGTACCTGTAGATGAAGACGACTGAGAGGAAGAGAAGAATGATGGAGATGCAGCTGACGGTGGCGAAAAAGACGATTCTGGCGTCTGCTAGGGGAAGGGCAGGTCAGAGCATGAGCTTGGCTCCCGAAACACACTGCAGGGAACAGCCCAGAGGAGCCAGCCAGACAGCCTGGCTCCCAAACTCGGACCTGCAACTTCAGAGCTGGAACTTCCGATTGCTGGGGGCCTTTCACGGCTGTCTCCCCGTCTGTAAGGTGAGGGTAGCGCTCGTAGCTACTTTATCAGATGGTAAGGAGAGTAAATGGGTCGGTGCATCCAGAGAGGGCTAGAACACCGCCTTGTGCGTGGGAAATTCCCAATGAATGTTTTCGTCCATAGCGACAATACCCATCATTTATCGTGAGCCAGCCCCGTGCTAGATGCTTCGTAAAGATTCTCTCTCACCACCTGAGACAGATTTACTATCCCTATATCAAAAATTCATAACTAAATTAGGCACTAGGAAATATAGACAATCGCCCAAAGTCCCACAGTCATTATGGGTTTCAATTCAGGTATGACAACCTTTTAGGCCAGTCTACCCCAAGATCAGGGTCGCTCTGTGCTCAGCCCTGGGGGTGAACGTATGATTCAAATGACATTCTGAACCCATTCCAGGCAGCCCATAGTCTAGTGAGATAAACGTTTACCCAACTTACTGTAATACTGCAGAGACTGTGGCAAGTCCCATAATAGAGGAATGAAAGTTTAGACTCTCACCCAGCTCAAGAATCATTTTTTCACCTTCTGCTTGCACAATGGCATATGGAACCCGACCACCGACCTCTCTTCACTCCCACGTCTTCCCTGATACGGGGAAAGAATTCGCTATTGTTCTGGTAATAGGACGGACTAGACACGTGAACTCTTCTGGCTGAAAACAACTCACATTCTTAGCTCAGAAATGTTTTCTGAATTTTCGTCCAGGCAATGATGAGCTGACAATAAAGTTAGAAATTCCTGGAGAGGC